TTTGTGTGCGTGTACCGTCAAATCAGATCTGACTGGTACAGGAGGAGATTGCCCCTCCTTCCCCGGCAGAGCATCTGGTGGATTCGAACCGTGCACCTCTGGGATTGTAGTTGCAGCTTCTTGCCACTAGGCCACCAGAGCTCCCCTTGTTTTGGTTTTTTGTAAGCAAACCAATATAAAATAAAAGTTATTTAAAAGAACTATGTACATTTTATATAGACTATAAGGAGACTAAAGTTTACAGAAAAGCTTCATTTTCTTTCATGCATTCATTGTTGTCTATTTTCCTCCCTACCCCGTCTGCCAGCTCACTTTCTTTTTTTTTCCCCCAAGATGAAATGTAAATTCTTTTAATGAAAAAATCTTTTCTGCTTGGAATAAGAATCAGTAGTAATAATAATTAACTATTTGTATTACAACTACTTGGGGGTTTTCCCTCTTTTCAAATTATTATTATTAATTTTAATGAAAATTTACAGAGACTTTGGATTTCCATTCATTCATTGTTACACTTTTCTCCCTGTCCACCTCCCCTACCCGCCCAGTACACTCTTCTCTTTGAAAAGGAAAAGAAAAATTCTTTCATTGTTTTACAATTTCTCCCCCCTACGCCCATTCCGCTATGCAGCCTTCGTTCTGCACTCCTGTCATGACAATAATACCTAATCACATATCCCTTATAAACAGTTTTCTCCCTTATCTGTTTCAATACAGTATACATTATGTATCCCATCTTTCTCAGTTTCCCCCCAACCCTGAGGTCAGTCCTGTTTTACAACAGTGGCACTATGCAGTGTTTGTCCTTTTGTGACTGAGATATTTCACTCAGCATAATGTCCTTCAGAGTCACCCATTTTGAATAATATTGCATGAGTTCCTTGTTTTTCAATGCAGCATAGTATTCCATTGTGTGAATATACTAAGGCTTCTCTATCCATTTGTTTGTTGATGGGCACTTAGGTTGTTTCCAACTCCTTGCTATTGTGAACAAAGCCACAATAAACATGGGTGTGCCTATGTCACCTTGGGGGTATATTCCCAGTAATAGAATTGCTGGGTCAAATGGTATCTCTATTTCCAACTTTTTTTTATTTCCAACTTTCTGAGAAAGTGCCACACCACCTTCCATAGTGATTTCACCATTTTACACTTCCGCCAACAGTGAATAAGTGTTCGTTTCTCCACAACCTCGCCAACATTTGTTGCTTGCTGTTCTGTTAAATTTTGCTATTCTTACTGGAGTGAGATGATATCTCATAGTTGTTTTGATTTACATCTCTCTTAGAGCTAGAGATTTAAAACATTTCTTCATGTGTTTGTTTGCCACATAAATGCCTTTTTTTGGTGAAGTGTCTGTTCATATGCTGTGCCCATTTTGCCACTGGGTTGTTTATCTTATTGTAGTGCTCAAGTATTTTATAAATTCTAGATATAAATCCCTTACCGGACATGGTATTACCAAATAGCTTTTTCCCAGTCTGTGGCTTCCCTTTTTACCCTCTTGGAGAAGTTTTTGGATGTGCATAGAGATTTGATTCTTAGAAGGTCCCATTCATCTATTTTATCTTCTCTTAGTTGTAGAGCCAGTTCACTTTCTTAAAAAAAAGAAAAAATTCATTGTTATCGCTGGTGGGAGTGTAAAATGGTACAACCACTATGGAACCATACTAAAGTATGGCACTTTCTCAAAAAGTTGGAAATAGACCATTTGACCCAGCCGTTCTACTACTAGGAATATACCCTAAAGAAACCAGGGCTGCCACCCAAACAGATGTATGCACACCCATGTTTATTGCTGCCTTATTCACAACAGCAAAGAAATGGAAGCAAACCGAGTGCCCATCAACAAATGAATGGATAGAGAATGTATAGTATAGTTACACAGTGAAATACTGAAAATATGCGGCACTGAAAAACAAGGAACTCATAAAATATTATACAACATAGTTGACCTTGGAGGACATTATGCTGAGTAAAATATCTCAGTCACAAAAGGACAAATACTGCATGACAAGCACTGTGGCAACTGGACAAAATAAAACAGACATGGGGGGGGGAGAAGAACAAACTGGGGATGAGGGTGGAGAAAACAGTGCAACAATGAATGAATGAAAACCCAAAATCTCTGTAAATGTTCATTAAAACTAATTTAATAAAAAAAATAAAAAATATAAAACAAGACTTACATGGTTGGCAAAAAAAAAACAACTAAGAAAAGAGGGGATAAATAATAAACTGCATTCGAACAGTTTAAGGAAAGAACTGTTTATCCGGAATATATGATTAGTCTGTCTCGATGTTTCTTCTTGTTTTAATTTTATTCCTGTACCAGTGAGTTAGGTAGTTTAGTCTCAGACTAAATGTGAAGACCTGCAATCAATTTTGTCCTTGTTTAGTGTTCAGGATCCACATAAGTTTATAAACCCAGAGACATTGTTGTTAAGTATTTTCAAGTTAGAACTGCCTCATAGCTGACCCTCCAGCAGACTGTCAGAGGCAGTAAATTGCACAGGAGGCAAGTCTTCAATTTTCCTCATACAGAGCAGTTAGTGGATTTATACCCCTTGATTTGGGGTTATAGTGCAACTCCTTACCTCTAAGCCACCTAAGCTCCCGTCAAAAGAGAGGAGGACCTCAGAATCTTGGGAAGCAAGAATCCCCCTAAAACTTTTTCGAGTCTTTCCATAGGTAAAATCTGTAGGTGATACAAGTACTTGCTGCTTTCTAACCTTGTCTCCCATCAGATCTCCTACCTTTGAACCTTTGCCCCTAAGAGAGTCAAGAAAAAAAATTAAAAAATCAACTGTTTCCTTCCCTTGGTCACTTAACCTACAGCAAGGTTTTCCATTTTACATAAATTTACTTCTCTCATTTTCATCCTGTTTGGTGTTTTATTTAAATCTTTATATGTTCACTAGCGTTTGTACATTGAGTGGATAAATATGAAGCTAGAACTAGAAAGCTTCAGACAGGTATTCTTACATTTAAAAAAATTTTTTTTATTATTAATTTCAATAAAAATTTACAGAGACATTGTATTTCCATTCATTCATTGTTGCACTTTTCTCTCCTCCCAACCCTTCCCTCCAGTACAGTCTTCTTTTTAAAAAGTAAAGGAAAAATTCTTTCATTGTTTTATAATCCCTCCCGCCAGGTACACTCCACTATGCAGCCTTCGCTCTGGAACATTTTTTTTATCTCCTTTCTAAGTTGTTGTTAAGTGCCATTGAGTCTAGCATGACTCAGCAACCCTATGAACAAAAGGTCTGAATTCTGTTCGGTAACCATCATCATTTCTCTAAAGTTCATAGAGTTTGCAAAGGCATGTTGCTTAGGAAGTAGATGCCAATCCTGCTTCCAAGCCTGTCTTAATCTGGAGCTCCACCAAACACTGTCCACCATGTAAAACAATGAAAGAATCTTTTCTTTTACTTTTCCATAATTTTTGGACTCATGTACTTATAACTTGTTAGTCAAATTTGTGTCTTCTAGGTTGCAACA